GTACCAGTTTCTCTGTCTGTACCAGTGTCTGTGTCTGTACCAGTGTCTGTGTCTGTACCAGTGTCTGTGTCTGTACCAGTCTCTGTGTCTGTACCAGTTTCTCTGTCTGTACCAGTGTCTGTGTCTGTACCAGTGTCTGTGTCTGTACCAGTGTCTGTGTCTGTACCAGTCTCTGTGTCTGTACCAGTGTCTGTGTCTGTACCAGTGTCTATGTCTGTACCAGTCTCTGTGTCTGTACCAGTGTCTGTACCAGTGTCTGTGTCTGTACCAAGTGTCTGTGTCTGTACCTGTGTCTGTACCACTGTCTGTACTCGCGTCTGTGTCTGTACCAAGTGTCTGTGTCTGTACCAGTGTCTGTACCTGTGTCTGTACCAGTGTCTGTGTCTGTACCAGTGTCTGTACCAGTGTCTGTACCAGTGTCTGTACCTGTGTCTGTACCAATGTCTGTGTCTGTACCAGTGTCTGTGTCTGTACCTGTGTCTGTACCAGTGTCTGTGTCTGTACCAGTGTCTGTGTCTGTACCTGTGTCTGTACCAGTGTCTATGTCTGCACCAGTGTCTGTACCAGTGTCTGTACCTGTGTCTAAACCAGTGTCTGTACCTGTGTCTGTACAAGTGTCTGTGTCTGTACAAGTGTCTGTGTCTGTACCTGTGTCTGTACCAGTGTCTGTACCCGTGTCTGTGTCTGTACCAGTGTCTGTACCTGTGTCTGTAACAGTGTCTGTGTCTGTACCTGTGTCTGTACCTGTGTCTGTACCAGTGTCTGTGTCTGTACCTGTGTCTGTACCAGTGTCTGTACCCATGTCTGTGTCTGTACCAGTGTCTGTACCAGTGTCTGTGTCTGTACCAGTGTCTGTACCTGTGTCTGTGTCTGTACCAGTGTCTGTGTCTGTACCTGTGTCTGTACCTGTGTCTGTACCAGTGTCTGTGTCTGTACCAGTGTCTGTGTCTGTACCAGTGTCTGTACCTGTGTCTGTGTCTGTACAAGTGTCTGTGTCTGTACAAGTGTCTGTGTCTGTACCTGTGTCTGTACCAGTGTCTGTACCAGTGTCTGTGTCTGTACCAGTGTCTGTGTCTGTACCCGTGTCTGTACCAGTGTCTGTACCAGTGTCTGTGTCTGTACCTGTGGCTGTACCTGTGTCTGTACCATTGTCTGTACCTGTGTCTGTACCTGTGTCTGTGTCTGTACCTGTGTCTGTACTGGTGTCTGTGTCTGTACCAGTGTCTGTGTCTGTACCGGTGTCTGTGTCTGTACCTGTGTCTTACCAGTGTCTGTACCAGTGTCTGTGTCTGTACCAGTGTCTGTGTCTGTACTTGTGCCTGTACCAGTGTCTGTGTCTGTACCAGTGTCTGTGTCTGTACCAGTGTCTGTGTCTGTACCAGTGTCTGTACCTGTGTCTGTACCAGTGTCTGTGTCTCTGTCTGTACCAGTGTGTGTGTCTCTTGTCAGTGTCTGTGTCTGTACCTGTGTCTGTACCTGTGTCTGTACCTGTGTCTGTGTCTCTGTGTGTGTCTGTACCTGTGTCTATACCTGTGTCTGTGTCTGTACCAGTGTCTGTGTCTGTACCTGTGTCTGTACCAGTGTCTGTGTCTGTACCAGTGTCTCTGTCTGTGTCTGTACCAGTTTCTCTGTCTGTACCAGTGTCTGTGTCTGTACCAGTGTCTGTGTCTGTACCAGTGTCTGTGTCTGTACCAGTCTCTGTGTCTGTACCAGTGTCTGTGTCTGTACCCGTGTCTGTGTCTGTACCAGTGTCTATGTCTGTACCAGTCTCTGTGTCTGTACCAGTGTCTGTACCTGTGTCTGTACCAATGTCTGTGTCTGTACCAGTGTCTGTACCTGTGTCTGTACCAATGTCTGTGTCTGTACCAGTGTCTGTGTCTGTACCTGTGTCTGTACCAGTGTCTGTGTCTGTACCTGTGTCTGTACCAGTGTCTATGTCTGCACCAGTGTCTGTACCAGTGTCTGTACCTGTGTCTAAACCAGTGTCTGTACCTGTGTCTGTACAAGTGTCTGTGTCTGTACAAGTGTCTGTGTCTGTACCTGTGTCTGTACCAGTGTCTGTACCCGTGTCTGTGTCTGTACCAGTGTCTGTACCTGTGTCTGTAACAGTGTCTGTGTCTGTACCTGTGTCTGTACCTGTGTCTGTACCAGTGTCTGTGTCTGTACCTGTGTCTGTACCAGTGTCTGTACCCATGTCTGTGTCTGTACCAGTGTCTGTACCAGTGTCTGTGTCTGTACCAGTGTCTGTACCTGTGTCTGTGTCTGTACCAATGTCTGTGTCTGTACCAGTGTCTGTGTCTGTACCTGTGTCTGTACCTGTGTCTGTACCAGTGTCTGTGTCTGTACCAGTGTCTGTGTCTGTACCAGTGTCTGTACCTGTGTCTGTGTCTGTACAAGTGTCTGTGTCTGTACAAGTGTCTGTGTCTGTACCTGTGTCTGTACCAGTGTCTGTACCAGTGTCTGTGTCTGTACCAGTGTCTGTGTCTGTACCCGTGTCTGTACCAGTGTCTGTGTCTGTACCAGTGTCTGTGTCTGTACCTGTGGCTGTACCTGTGTCTGTACCTGTGTCTGTGTCTGTACCTGTGTCTGTACCAATGTCTGTGTCTGTACCTGTGTCTGTACCAGTGTCTGTGTCTGTACCTGTGTCTGTACCAGTGTCTGTACCCATGTCTGTGTCTGTACCAGTGTCTGTACCAGTGTCTGTGTCTGTACCAGTGTCTGTACCTGTGTCTGTGTCTGTACCAATGTCTGTGTCTGTACCAGTGTCTGTGTCTGTACCTGTGTCTGTACCTGTGTCTGTACCAGTGTCTGTGTCTGTACCTGTGTCTGTACCAGTGTCTGTGTCTGTACCAGTGTCTGTACCTGTGTCTGTACAAGTGTCTGTGTCTGTACAAGTGTCTGTGTCTGTACCTGTGTCTGTACCAGTGTCTGTACCCGTGTCTGTGTCTGTACCAGTGTCTGTACCTGTGTCTGTACCTGTCTGTACCTGTGTCTGTACCAGTGTCTGTGTCTGTACCTCTGTCTGTACCAGTGTCTGTGTCTGTACCAGTTTCTGTGTCTGTACCTGTATCTGTGTCTGTACCTGTGTCTGTACCAGTGTCTGTACCAGTGTCTGTGTCTGTACCAGTGTCTGTACCTGTGTCTGTGTCTGTACCAGTGTCTGTACCTGTGTCTGTGTCTGTACCAGTGTCTGTACCTGTGTCTGTGTCTGTACCAGTGTCTGTACCTGTGTCTGTACCAATGTCTGTGTCTGTACCTGTGTCTGTACCTGTGTCTGTACCTGTGTCTGTACCAGTGTCTGTGTCTGTACCTGTGTCTGTACCAGTGTCTGTGTCTGTACCAGTGTCTGTACCTGTGTCTGTACCAGTGTCTGTGTCTGTACAAGTGTCTGTACAAGTGTCTGTGTCTGTACAAGTGTCCGTGTCTGTACCTGTGTCTGTACCCGTGTCTGTGTCTGTACCAGTGTCTGTACCTGTGTCTGTAACAGTGTCTGTGTCTGTACCTGTGTCTGTACCAGTGTCTGTACCTGTGCCTGTGTCTGTACCAGTGTCTGTGTCTGTACCTGTGTCTGTACCAGTGTCTGTGTCTGTACCAGTGTCTGTACCTGTGTCTGTACCCGTGTCTGTGTCTGTACCAGTGTCTGTACCTGTGTCTGTACCCGTGTCTGTGTCTGTACCAGTGTCTGTACCTGTGTCTGTACCAGTGTCTGTGTCTGTACCAGTGTCTGTGTCTGTACCAGTGTCTGTACCTGTGTCTGTGTCTGTACCAATGTCTGTGTCTGTACCAGTGTCTGTACCTGTGTCTGTACCTGTGTCTGTACCAGTGTATGTGTCTGTACCAGTGTCTGTGTCTGTACCTGTGTCTGTACCAGTGTCTGTACCTGTGTCTGTGTCTGTACCAATGTCTGTATCTGTACCAGTGTCTGTACCGGTGTCTGTACCTGTGTCTGTACCAGTGTCTGTGTCTGTACCAGTGTCTGTGTCTGTACCAGTGTCTGTGTCTGTACCAGTGTCTGTACCAGTGTCTGTGTCTGTACCTGTGTCTGTACCAGTGTCTGTGTCTGTACCAGTGTCTGTGTCTGTACCAGTGTCTGTACCTGTGTCTGTGTCTGTACCAGTGTCTGTGTCTGTACCTGTGTCTGTACCAGTGTCTGTACCTGTGTCTGTAACAGTGTCTGTACCTGTCTGTACCTGTGTCTGTACCAGTGTCTGTGTCTGTACCTGTGTCTGTACCAGTGTCTGTGTCTGTACCAGTGTCTGTGTCTGTACCAGTGTCTGTACCTGTGTCTGTGTCTGTACCAATGTCTGTGTCTGTACCAGTGTCTGTACCTGTGTCTGTACCTGTGTCTGTACCAGTGTCTGTGTCTGTACCAGTGTCTGTGCCTGTACCTGTGTCTGTACCAGTGTCTGTACCTGTGTCTGTGTCTGTACCAATGTCTGTATCTGTACCAGTGTCTGTACCTGTGTCTGTACCTGTGTCTGTACCAGTGTCTGTGTCTGTACCAGTGTCTGTGTCTGTACCAGTGTCTGTACCTGTGTCTGTGTCTGTACCAGTGTCTGTACCAGTGTCTGTGTCTGTACCTGTGTCTGTACCAGTGTCTGTGTCTGTACCAGTGTCTGTGTCTGTACCAGTGTCTGTACCTGTGTCTGTACCAATGTCTGTGTCTGTACCTGTGTCTGTACCAGTGTCTGTACCAGTGTCTGTGTCTGTACCTGTGTCTGTACCAGTGTCTGTACCAGTGTCTGTGTCTGTACCAGTGTCTGTACCTGTGTCTGTGTCTGTACCAGTGTCTGTGTCTGTACCTGTGTCTGTACCAGTGTCTGTACCAGTGTCTGTGTCTGTACCAGTGTCTGTACCAGTGTCTGTACCAGTGTCTGTGTCTGTACCAGTGTCTGTACCAGTGTCTGTGTCTGTACCAGTGTCTGTACCAGTGTCTGTACCAGTGTCTGTGTCTGTACCAGTGTCTGTACCTGTGTCTGTGTCTGTACCAGTGTCTGTACCTGTGTCTGTGGCTATTCCGGACTCTCCAGAGCCCCACGTGCTGCTCATGAGCCCGACTCCTCCCAGTGCGCATGTGCAGACGCAAAGCACTCTGGGAATTGTAGTTATTTTGTGAAACAAATATAGAAACACCTCCACAGATCCCCTCTCCAAACACACCCCCAAACACACCCCCTCTCCAAACACACCCCCAAACACACCCCCTCTCCAAACACACCCCCAAACACACCCTCTCCAAACACACCCCCAAACACACCCCCTCTCCAAACACACCCCAAACACACCCCCTCTCCAAACACACCCCCAAACACACCCCCTCTCCAAACACACCCCCAAACACACCCCTCTCCAAACACACCCCAAACACACCCCTCTCCAAACACACCCCCAAACACACCCCCTCTCCAAACACACCCCTCCAAACACAAACACCCCCCTCTCCAAACACACCCCCAAACACACCCCCTCTCCAAACACACCCCAAACACACCCCCTCTCCAAACACCCCCCCAAACACACCCCCTCTCCAAACACACCCCCAAACACACCCCCTCTCCAAACACACCCCCAAACACACCCCTTCTCCAAACACACCCCCAAACACACCCCCTCTCCAAACACACCCCCAAACACACCCCCTCTCCAAACACCCCCCCAAACACACCCCCTCTCCAAACACACCCCAAACACACCCCCTCTCCAAACACACCCCCAAACACACCCCTCTCCAAACACACCCCCAAACACACCCCCTCTCCAAACACACCCCCAAAACACACCCCTCTCCAAACACACCCCCTCTCCAAACACACCCCAAACACACCCCCTCTCCAAACACACCCCCAAACACACCCCCTCTCCAAACACACCCCCAAACACACCCCCTCTCCAAACACTCCCCAAACACACCCCCTCTCCAAACACACCCCCTCTCCAAACACACCTCCTCTCCAAACACACCCCCTCTCCAAACACACCCCCAAACACACCCCCTCTCCAAACACACCCCCAAACACACCCCCTCTCCAAACACACCCCCAAACACACCCCTCTAAAACACTCCTCCAAACACACCCCCTCTCCAAACACACCCCCTCTCCAAACACACCTCCTCTCCAAACACACCCCCTCTCCAAACACACCCCCAAACACACCCCCTCTCCAAACACTCCCCCAAACACACCCCTCTCCAAACACACCCCCTCTCCAAACACACCTCCTCTCCAAACACACCCCCTCTCCAAACTGACCCCCTCCAAACACACCCCCTCTCCAAACACACCCCCTCTCCAAACACACCCCCAAACACACCCCCTCTCCAAACACACCCCCAAACACACCCCCTCTCCAAACACACCCCCAACACACCCCCTCTCCAAACACACCCCAAACACACCCCCTCTCCAAACACACCCCCAAACACACCCCCTCTCCAAACACACCCCCAAACACACCCCCTCTCCAACACACCCCCAAACACACCCCCTCTTCAAACACACCCCCAAACACACCCCCTCTCCAAACACACCCCAAACACACCCCCTCTCCAAACACCCCCCAAACACCTCCCCTCTCGAAACACACCCCCAAACACACCCCCTCTCCAAACACACCCCCAAACACACCCTCTCTCCAAACACACCCCCAAACACAGCCCCTCTCCAAACACACCCCTCTCCAAACACCCCCCCCTCTCCAAACACACCCCCAAACACACCCCCTCTCCAAACACACCCCCTCTCCAAACACACCCCTCTCCAAACACATCCCTCTCCAAACACACCCCAAACACACCCCCTCTCGAAACACACTCCCAAACACACCCCCTCTCCAAACACACCCCCAAACACACCCTCTCTCCAAACACACCCCCAAACACACCCCCTCTCCAATCACACCCCCAAACACACCCCCTCTCCAAACACACCCCCAAACACACCCCCTCTCCAAACACACCCCCTCTCCAAACACACCCCCTCTCCAAACACACCCCCTCTCCAACACACCCCCTCTCCAAACACACCCCAAATACACACCCTCTCCAAACACACTCCCAAACACACCCCCCCAAACACACCCCCTCTCCAAACACACCCCCTCTCCAAACACACCCACTCAAACACACCCCCAAACACACCCCCTCAAACACACCCCCTCCAAACACACCCTCTCAAACACACCCCCTCTCCAAACATAACCCCAAACACACCCCCTCTCCAAACACACCCCCAAACACACACTCCCAAACACCCCCCCTCTCCAAACACCTCCCCAAACACACCCCCTCTCCAAACACACCCCAAACACACACCCCCAAACACCCCCCCTCTCCAAACACCCCCCCAAACACACCCCCTCAAACACACACCCCCAAACACACCCCCTCAAACACCACCCCCCAAACACACACCCTCAAACACACCCCCAAACACACACCCTCAAACACACACACCTAAACACACACCCTCAAACACATCCCCTCTCCAAACACACCCCCAAACACAGCCCCTCAAACACACACCCCCAAACACACCCCCTCTCCAAACACCCTCCCTCTCCAAACATACCCCCAAACACACCCCCTCTCCAAACACCCCCCCTCTCCAAACACACCCCCAAACACACCCCCTCTCCAATCACACCCCCAAACACACCCGCTCTCCAAACACACCCCCAAACACACCCCCTCTCCAAACACACCCCCTCTCCAAACACACCCCCAAACACACCCCCTCTCCAAACACACCCCAAATACACCCCCTCTCCAAACACCCCCCCAAACACACCCCCTCAAACACACCCCCTCTCCAAACACCCCCCCAAACACACCCACTCAAACACACCCCCAAACACACACCCTCAAACACACCCCCTCCAAACACACCCTCTCAAACACACCCCCTCTCCAAACATAACCCCAAACACCCCCCCTCTCCAAACACCTCCCCAAACACACCCCCTCTCCAAACACACCCCAAACACACACCCCCAAACACCCCCTCTCCAAACACCCCCCCAAACACACCCCCTCTCCAAACAGACCCCCTCAAACACACCCCCTCTCCAAACACACAACCCAAACACACACCCCCAAACACATAACCCAAACACATCCCCTCTCCAAACACACAACACAAACACACACCCCCAAACACACCCCCAAACACACACCCCAAAACACACCCCCTCTCCAAACACACCCCCTCTCCAAACACACACCCCCAAACACACACCCCCAAACACACCCCCTCTCCAAACACACAACCCAACACACACACCCACAAACACACACCCCCAAACACAGCCCCTCTCCAAACACACAACCCAAACACACCCCCCAAACACACCCCCTCTCCAAACACACAACCCAACCACACCCCCCAAACACACACCCCAAAACACCCCCTCTCCAAACACACACCCCAAACACACACCCCCAAACACACAACCTAAACACACACCCCAAACACCCCCCCAAACACACACCCCCAAACATACACCCCCCAAATGCACCCCCCAAACACACATCCCCAAACACCCCCCCAAACACACACACACTCAAACACCCCCCCAAACACCCCCCTCAAACGCGACCCCCCAAACACCCCCCCAAACACACACCCCCAAACACACACCCCCCCAAACACACACACACACACTCAAACACCCCCCCCAAACATCCCCCCTCAAACACCCCCCCCAAACGCCACCCGCAAACACTCACCCCAAACACAACCCCCAAACACCCCCCTTCAAACACACACCCCGTTCCAAACATCCCCCCTAAATACACACACCCCTAAACCCACCCCCCTTCCAAACACCCACCCCACACACTCCCCCCCCAAACACACACACCCCCAAACACACACACAACCCCACACACCCCATCCAAACACACCAACCCCTCCAAACACCCACCCAACACACACCCCCCTCCAAACACACACACCCCAAAACACACACCCCCTCCAACACACACCCCTCCAAACTCACCGCGCCCAAACACCCCCCCTTCAAACACACCACCCCCCAAACACCCCACCCTTCCAAACACCCCCCCCCAAACACCTCACTCATAACCCCCACAAACACCCCCACCCCTCCCACACCAAACACCACCCACACCAAACACCCCCCACAAACAGCCCCTCACACACACACCCCACACACCCTCACACACCCACCCCGCCCACACACACCCCACACCCACCCCCCCAAACACACACACCCCCCACCCAGCCCCCCCCACACACACCCACACCTAGCCCCCCCTACACACACCCCGTCCCACACCCACCCCTCCCCCCCCACACACACACGCCCACACACACGCCCTCCAACACACATACCCACATACCCGCCCCCACCCACGCCCCCCAAACAGCCCCTCACACACACACCCCACAACCCCCCACACACACCCCCCACCCCCCCCCCACACACACACCCACACCCAGGCCCCCACACACACACCCCACCCCACACCCACATCCCCCCCCTGCACACACACACACCCCACACACACCCCCTCCAACACACACACCCCCACATACCCGCCCCCACACACACCCAAATACCCCCCCAAACACTCCCCCGCCCTCCAAACACATACACCCCAAACACACACCCCCTCCAAACATCCCCCCAAACACCCCCACCCCCACCCCCTCCAAACACACACACCCAAACACACCCCCCCCTCCAAACAACCCCCCCTTCAAACACACCCCCACCAAACACCCCCCGCTCCAACCCCCCAAACACCCCCTCCCTCCAAACACCCCCCCAACACACCCCCCCTTCAAACACACCACCCCCCAAACACCCCCCACAAACACACCTCCCCCCAAACATCCCCCCGCTCCAAACACCCACCTGCAAACACCCCCCCAAACAGCCCCCACACACCCCCAAACCCACACCCCCCACACACACACCCACACCCCCCACACCACCGCGCCCCACACACACCCCACACACTCCCCCCCCACACAACCACCACACACCCGCCCCACACACACCCCCCCCAACCCCCCCCCACCCACACACACCCCACCCACCCACACCCCTCCCGCCCCCCCCACACACCCCCACACACAACCCCTCCAGACCCCCCCCACACACACACCCACACAGCCCCCCACCCACCCCCACACACTTGCTCGCG